AACAGCCCAAAAGGCCCTTACATGCAGCTCCAATGTAGCCACGACTGGTGGCACCTCTGCACAGCCTTCGGATGTGACATAGTCACCACCACACCCAAAACTGCCAACCTGTTCGCCAACACCTCCAATATAACTTCACAAACCTCAAACTATCAAGCCCAAAAGCAAAGGGTCTTCACCCCGCTCTACATGACTCTGTCCAAAGCCTTAGGGGTTCTAATAAAAAATGGGCATTTTAAGCCATTAGAACAGTGCCCACTACCCGATCCTCTTCCTCTGAAACACAACCCGGCCAAATATTGTGATTTTCACCAACAACATGGTCATGATACTGATCAGTGCTACAGACTACATCATGCGATTCAAGATCTCATTGACAATAAGGTCATAGCACCTCTCCAGAAGCCAAACGTCACTACAAATCCTATCCCATCACATAACCAAGTCCCTCAACCTCGGCATATAAACCTCATCCATACACTAGTTGTCCCTTATGACCCCAGTACATACATCACCCCTTCCTACTTACCAAAGTTGGCATTGTTCATCCCTGAGAGCACAAACTTGTGCATAGTGAGCACGTCTTCACTCCAACCTGAACTAGTGGTGCTGACAGTGGAAGATGAAGGGAGGTCAGCCTTGGTGGAGAATATTAGTCCATTGCCCGAGGGCTTTGAGGACTTCTTTGAAGGGACATACGACCCGAGCTGCTATTTGTGCCAATCAATCAAGCTAAGCCGAAAGTGGTGTTGCTGATTGGGATAGGGGTCAGTATAGTTCGAGAAGATGGACCAAGTCAGGGATTAGATGATCTAGCCAACCTAGAGGAGGATATAGACAACTTGCAGTTCTTTGATGAGCAAGATCAAGGAGACGTGCACATTGATTGGTTTGATCTGAACGAGTCAACAGAAAATTCTGGGTGGCTAAGTGATGAACCCGATATAGATGAGGGAACTTATTCAAAGCTTGAAGAACAAAAAGCGGGAACCGCTGCAATGGCCAGAATGGCCGATGGGAAGGGTAAACTGCCAAAAAAAATCGGTGAAGAACAATTGGCTCAGGAACTGGGTATTGTTAGTATTGTACATACAGAGCAAGAAACCGCGCTGGAGCGGTTTGGGCAAGAATGAGTGTAAGTGATCGAAAAGCTAGAATAGCTCAACGCCTCGCGAGGAATGTTTTTGCTGAGAGAACACTTGGACCAGAACCGGACAATTGCTTGTCGGTTGCCAGAGTTATGTGGTAAGAAGATGATAATCTGCATCTTGCTCATACTGATGAGGATTGGGGTGAAGGCCTTCCTAACAACACTTGGTATGTGGAAGAAGTCGACCACATGACAAGGAGTGACCGATATTTCAAACCACCACATTTGGACCAACCTGAAGCCTCCGGAAAGGACAAAGAGGTAGAGAAACATAAGGAAAAACAGTTAGAGGAAGAGGCTGTGCTGAAATAGTTGAAGAAGATTCAAGCTGACATATCTATCTGAGGGCTGCTTATGGCTTCGCGAGTGCACTGACAGGCTGTACTGACAGGGATGGATAAAGTTAAGTTGTCCATCAACATCACCCTGGAACAACTAGTGGGATTGGTCTTCCTGGGAGGCGCTGTGCCGACTTAGACATTTTTAGACAAGGAGTTATCGCTAGAAAGCTCTGCGCACAACAAGCCTCTGTACATATCCATAGAATGTTGAGAAAAGTGGATACCGGTGGTATTGGTCAACACTAGGTCAGCAATCAACGTCTGCCCTTGTCACACGACTTATGCTATTGGCTTGAAATCGGCCGATGTTGTACCTACAGCCCAGGTGATCCGGGCATATGACAATACAAGCAGAGAGGTAATGGAGACAGTGCAGATTAGAGTATAGGTTGGCCCAGCTCAACAGGACATCCAGTTCCATATCTTGGATGTCCCGGCCACTTTCAACTTACTACTTGGGCGACCTTGGCTATACCAAGTAAGAGCTGTCTCTTCCACCCTCCACCAAATGCTGAAGTACCCCCATGGGAAAGGGGTAGTCATAGTCTTCGGGAATTCATCTATACATCCTCCGCCAGAGGCCACTATGCCTGTGCTGGAGATTGTGCATGGCGAAGAGGATGTCTTTTTTCAGGGTTTACCTTGGCTGAGGCCCGGGGTAGTGCAGAATATCCTGGCTATCGATGAGAGCTTATATGTCAGCGCCCAATCTGTATACTTCATGAACAAACTCCAACACATGCCAAGAATGGGGTTGGGAAGGAGTGGCTGAAAAGGCATTACTACATTGGCCGATGTGCCACATAACCTGCATGCCTTTGGTCTGGGCTATACGTCCACCAAAGAGGATTGGGTGAGGAAAAGGAAAGAAATGGCCGAAAGAGCTAGAGCTAAGGAAACCGGGAAGTGCTACGAGCTTGTGCACCGACCAATTCAGGGAACCCTGAATGGTTATTTTGTTCCAGAAGGAGAAGACTTCCCATTTTGTGGTTTCCCCGAACCCTGGTTCAACTCTAAGAGACAGCGAGTTCTCGGCTTTGAGATTTTCTTTGACTTGCAGCTGCAAAACAGTGATACCGAAGAAAGGGCTGAGCCAATTACTGTCGAGGCTGCAAAAAGTATAGGAAGTGATTCCAACAACAGTGAACTTGAAGTAGGAGTATCACTAGCATGTCTCCTTTCAGATCCTTAGATCAACTCAGAGAGCTTGGGGGATATCCTAATCGTTTCCATGATCAGAGACCAACAGGGTGTGAACCCTTGTAGTGGCATCTTGGATGCATCTGACGCACCATCCCTCACTTGGCAGGTGGAGGAGGGCTACCTGTCTAGCAGTTCTGAGTTAGGTGGTCAACCAGAATCTGATTCCACAGAGTCTGTGGAGTCGGAGTCAGATTCCGGTTCGTCTGAGTCCGGTATTCCTGGGGTTGATAACCCGGATGCTGAGGTTTTGTCCAGGTCGTCTTTTTCCTTTTCTTTTGAGTCAGTTGTAACCAAGGAACTGGATGAGTTGGATCTTTTGAATGAGAATGTTGCTATAGATTCTGAGTACTTCTCTATGCCTCTTATTTATTGCATTGATCATGATTTTCAAAATTTTGATGAAAACGATGAGGAAGGAATTCCTCTGGTTTTGAAACATTAGATTAATCGAGAGGAAGAGAGGTTTGTAAAACCCCTTGTTGATGAAATCGTTCCAATTAAAGTGGGTACTGAAAAGGATCCGCGTTTGGTCCAAATCGGGTCCACGTTTTCTTCGGAGGAGTGCGAGCGCTTAGTCGCTTTATTAAAAGATTTCAAAGATGTTTTCGCGTGGTCCTATGAAGACAAGCTTGGAATCGATCCTGAGATTGTACAACATTCGATCCCTTTTGACCCTGAGGCCTGACCCATCAAGCAAAAGCTTTGGAGAATACACTTGGATTGGGCTTTGAAGATTAAAGAGGAGGTCACCAAGCAGATAGACGCAGGGTTCTTGCTAGTATCTGAGTATCAAACTTGGTTGGCCAACATTGTTCCAGTGCCAAAGAAAGATGGCAGAATTCAAGTGTGTGTGGACTTTAGAGATCTAAACAGAGCCAGTCTGAAGGACGACTTTCCTTTATCGCACATCGATGAACTAGTGGACTTCACCGTAGGCCATGCGTTGTTTTCCTTCATGGATGGATTTTTCGGGTATAACCAAATTCTGATGGCACCCAAGGATAGAGAGAGAACTGCTTTCACTATGCCGTGGGGAACCTACTGCTATAGGGTGATGCTGTTTGGGTTGAAGAATGTTGGGGCTACCTATCAATAGGCTACAACCACAATTCTACTTGATATGATCCATAAAGAGGTAGAGGTGTACGTGGACGACATGATTGTCAAGTCCAAAGAAAGAGAGGGCCACTACATCGCCTTGAAGAAATTCTCTCAACGGATCAGAGAATACCGGTTGAGGTTGAATCCGCATAAATGCACTTTCGGTGTAATAGCAGGGAAAATGCTGGGTTTCTTGATCACACAGAGGGGCATCAAGGTAGATCCTTCCAAAATCAAGGCCATCCTAGAAATGCCACCACTAAGGACTGAAAAGAAGGTACGAGGCTTTCTGGGTAAAGTACAATTCATAAGACGGTTATTTCTAAATTAACCTTGACTTGTGAACCACTATTTGGTCTCCTAAAGAAATGAAAGAAATTTCGATGGGATAACCGATGTCAATTCGCTTTCGAGCAGATCAAGCATTACCTTCAAAACTCGCCTGTGTTGTCATCGCTAGAGCCAGGGAAGCCCCTGATTCTGTATTTGTCAGTAACAGACACAATGATGGGATGCATGCTCGCTCAGGAATCTGACGATGGGGTGGAGAAAGCCATTTATTACCTGAGCAAGAAAATGCTGGATTATGAGACCCACTACACTCCGCTAGAGAAAGTGTGCTTAGCCTTAGTATGGGCTACTAGAAAGTTGAGGCACTACCTGTTAGCTCACTCCATAATTCTGGTTTTGCAATTAGATCCCATCATATATCTCTTCGAGAAACCAACGCTTACGGGTGGGCTAGCCCATTGGTTGCTTCTCCTCTCCGAATTTGATTTGAAGTATGTTACTCGCAAGTTTGTTAAGGGGAGAGTGGTAGCAAAGTTCCTGGCAGATCACCCAGTAGAAGGGGATGAAGCAGTAGTGATTTCCATAACTTATTAGGACGATTTAGAGCAACGCTCAAATTTTTTGATAATAAATTTATGTCACAGAAACAGTCTATTCATAAATGAGGATTATGCCTTTAGCAGGAGTCTCGTACACTCGATCACCATTTGATTTTTAGTGGCTTCCAAAACCATTCCACTTACAAAATGTTAAGCACTTCAAACTAATCGGAGTAGTTTTGTCATTCTTCAAAAGAAGAAGCCATGGGGGAAAAAACAAAATAAGCCAAAAAACAACAAAACCTTTCTTTGAGATCAAACAACCAAAACCATTGGAACATTGTTGTCTCCTACTGAGAAAGATACAGAAAGAAAATGGGGATGGTAACCACTGTCAAGTCTGAAATGAGGCCATTGAAGCATCACTTGTGTTCCATGGAAGTTCATCCTCCTGTGGTTGTTAAGTCTGTCAAGCGTCATAAAAGAGAGTCGTGTGCATTTGTTATTGGAGAACAGCCTCAGCCTCAGCCGGGCCAAGTTTTTCCGTCTACTACAACTACTGGTTTGAAGAGAAGTTCAAGATTCCGAGGAGTCAGCAGGTATATATATGTTCTATTTTTGGTTTTTTAGTTTTTTGAAAACTTGAAACTGAGTCTGTTGTTTTGGGTTTAAAAAGGCATAGGTGGACTGGAAGATTTGAAGCTCACCTATGGGATAAAGGGTCCTGGAATGCAACACAGAGGAAGAAGGGAAAGCAAGGTAGTTACAATACACTTTTTTTTTTATTTTGTTTTCTTTGTTATTTGCTTTCATTTCTTGGAAAAATCAGAAAAATTTGTTTGGCAAATTAATTTGCGATCTGGAAAATTTTCTTAAAACAACTACTTTTTAGGAAATACCACGACTTCTTGGTGTTTCCTAGAAAGTGCAATTATGCTACGAATGCAGAAACCTATCATAGAACCACTAAGATTTTACAATTTTTCAATGAGATTCATTTTTGAAAAATCTTATCCGCCTAGTTTATGTGTTTGTAGATTTATTCTACAAAATGGATTGTTTTTAGGAAAAAAATTCCATAAACATTTTTTTGCACTAAAAAGAAAAATGGTTTGCAAATAATGGGTATTTTCAAAATTTTAATTGTTTTGTTTCCAAAAACAAAATACAAAAATGAAAGCAACAAAAAGACCAAACAACCTTTATGATGTTTCTACTTTCATTGCTAATTCCTTGTTCATTGTTTTGTGATTTGATTTCGCATCGGGTGCTGTGGTTGGATTGGAGCAGTTTATCTTGGTGAGTACATCAGCAACTAATTTCTATTTATTTTGGTTTTTGCTATAAATAAACAAAACTCAGATGGAAATCATGAAAATTAACTCATTTGTTTTGCTAATCAGGAGCTTATAATGTTGAAGAAACTGCAGCAAGGGCATATGATTTGGCAGCAATCAAGTATTGGGGCCCTACAACCTTCACAAATTTCTCGGTATGTAAGCCATACTTGAATCTGATAATCCCCTCATGAAAAATCTAATTTATCATTATTTTTTAGGACCCCGATTGCTTTTTTTTCTTAGGTATCGGATTATGAGATAGAGATGGAAATAATGCAGAATGTAACGAAAGAAGAGTACTTGGCATCTTTGAGAAGGTACATAATACATTTAACCTAAAACTAATAACGCCTTTGTTTAACCTAAAACTAATTGCTCCCTTTTCGGTTTGTTATAGGAAAAGCAGTGGTTTCTCAAGAGGTGTATCCAAGTACAGAGGAGTTGCAAGGTAAAAAAAAAAAAAAGAAGTTTCACTAAACTTTCATTTTCTGATAAATTTTAACAGTAAATACTAAGATTGCATTTTTTGGATTGACTGCAAGCACCATCAAATCTCTACCTTGGGCACTTACAGTGAGTGTCTAACTCTTTTTGTTCATTTAATTAATAAGAAAGTAAGGGTGTGGTGGTATCAAGAGTACACAAGTGATACATATCAAGAATCGAGTGATATGATATCATTATTTGCAAAAAGTACTTTATAGCAGGTCAAATCATATGAATTGGATGTGAATTGGGTATGAATCAGCTATGAACCAAATATGTATTGACCAATATTTAAAACCATGGCAGTGATCAATTATAACTAAATTCGAAGAATGAAGAATTTTATGAGCATTCTTTGAATAGTTGAGATCTAGTTTTAAATATATAGCATAATATGGTTTTTAGCTGATTAACTAAATATAAGCCTCCTGATACTCATACACCCCAATATAACTAGTACGGAACGACAATGAAAAAATCTAGAACATCCCACTAGATGTTGAATTTGTGATTATGTCTCAATCTTTAAGCAGTATATAACAATCCCAATCAAACAATCAAGAAAATCGACACAACGATTTTAACGTGGAAAAACCACAATTGGAGCACCTCCAACTGTGATAGAAAAACCACAGGCAGCAGCCACAAAACAATCCACTAAGAAGATATAAAGCAATTACACAGGTATAACTCTACAGTTGACCTAGCGATCCCACGCCCGAATTGAACCAACCCCTATGTGTCTCTTCCAACCCCGTCTTCCCTCGGAATTGTCTTGACGATGAGGCCACTCCAAATCCACCAATGCTTCAGGCTCGAATTCTTCAGAATCCACTGAAGATTAGAATGAACAAAGAGAACCTTTGATGTATTCTTCTTAACCCCATGAGTTGAATACTCAATAAACATTAAAGAAAAACTAGCAAAATATCCCCAGACTAATAACCTTAATATCTAAAAAGAAGATCTGGAGCAGTAATCCTAAAATCTGACAAAAACACGTACTTCTAGAAATTTGGGACTGCGAAGCTCGCTCGAAGCAAAGATTCTCTCGCTCGAGCGAGGAACCAAAATACGCGTGTTTCCATAAGTGGCTTCGCTCGAACGGCCAGAGCAACCTTTGCTCGAGCGACATTCAGTCATTGTTCAGGTTTTTTGCCAGACCGCAGCCTTGGCTCGAGCGAGCAAGGGCGGACATGCAACTTTGAATGCAAGTTTACATTTTGCTCGGGGGCGCTGCCCCTTGACCCCCACCCGGTCGCTCTGCCCCGACCCGCCAAGGGGCCTGCACCCTCGACCCCGCAAGCTGATCGGGCAGCTCGATCCCTGTTATAACTCAGCGAAGTCGGCCCAATCTGAAAGTATTAACATCACAAACTTCTTTGGCCAGGCAGAATTCAGGTTAGATTTCGCATTCTAAAAGCTCATATCCTTACTGAAAACAAGAGCGAATAAAAATACCATCTGAAGGAGTTTTTGTCAAACTGGGATTGCCAGAATAAAAACATAACAATCTCAACCCTTGGCAATGCCGTGACAATAACACCTAACAAATAAAATCTAAACACCCTCAATCCATTACAGCAACAAAACTTCTTTCTTGATGGTCAGATCGCCAAACACCTATTAGTCCTACAACGGTTATAAATAAAAACAACATCAACATATGAGAAGATTACTTCGAAGCATGAGATAGAAAACCATGGAATAAATGCGAGACTTGGAGATTTTAAAAACTCTAGCATGAATAGATGTAAAAACTAAGACACATGCACCCCGACCGACCCCCATGCCTGAAACATTGAAATCCTAAGACATGGATACATGAAATCCTAGACATGAATACATGAAATCCTAAGGACACATGCACCGGACAACATCACTCCCCCTTTTTGTCAGACTTGACAAAGGAAGCTCAATCAACTAAACCAAACTCAGAAACCATACAAGCAATGACATGATGACAGAAAATATGAGGAGCCATGCAAGAAGGAAAGATCAAAGTTTTCATGCTAACAAACTCTTGGCAATGATAAACCAAACTCCCCCTCACTAAAGCAACGCAGCAAACACTGAAAATAGGTGAAACAAAAAGCAAATGCAAAAATAATATGGTGAAGAAGCAAGGAATTCCAGATTTGTACCTTAAAAACACACAAGATGATCCAAGAAGCACAATTACTCGAAAACACAATTGCACAATCTATAGAGATTCCTCATGAAGAAAAAGTGATGCATTATTAAAAAGCATAATCCCATGATAAAAGTTGTGTGTGTGACTCTTGGAGTTCGACAAACCAAAGATCAATCGCTAGGTAGTGATCATGAAAGCTGCGAGCCTCCGACTAGAGAATCTAAGCACAACATAAGGAAAGTCAAACTCTAGGAATCACGGGTATTTGGTGAGTAAAAGCGGGAGGCCTCCCCCTCAATCACGAATCCCTTATGTTTTTCTTTTCTTATTCTTTCTTTTGCACAATTGATGTTTTTTCTTTTTCACATTTTTTTCTTTCTTTTGCACCACTCATTGGCGGCTGACACGCTCAAGAGTATGGAAAATCGAACCAGAGAAGCATGGATATAATAAGGATGGCCTGGTTGGTGACTCTGTGGTAGCCTTTTCCTCATGGCAGGACTTGCAAAGAATTGAGGGGAAAGCCGTAGAGATACAAAAAGATAGAAGGTGGTTAAGAGACTTAACATCACCCATGATATACTAGTATAGGTCAATTCCTCTAGAAAAGTAAAAGATGTAATGCCAGAAGTCCATAGAAAAAAAAAATCACTAAGGCGGAAGACTCCGATATTTGCTAATCCAAGAGTGTGTACAGAATGAGGCATACTAATCAAAGAACACACACTTCGAAATGAGTAATGACCACAGAAAGCACATATTATATTAACATGTAATGGATATCTTTATCAATTCCAATATGCACCAAGGACCACTTAAAAATTTCAAGCTTGCAAAACCATACTAAGAAAATCTTTTTGGATTTTTTTTTCTAAACAAAGTAATACAGAAAACGAACAGGCACACATTAAATGACCCAAAAAAAAAAAAAAAACACACAGAAACCTAAAAACTAAAATGAATAAACAAATTAGCACAAGTCAAGTTTTCTCACCCAAACCGCTTTAGTATGAACAAAGTTGTAAGAATTGCAGTTCTTGGTGGTGTCTTGACACTGTGGTTCCTTTTCCCTGCAATGGGAACCCGTCTCAACTTAGTTTCCAAACTTCCTATTTTTAGGTCTAGGCAAATACACTCTCCCAACAACTTATAACAATAAGGGCGAATATGACCATGCCTACCACAATGATGACAAATAAAAAGAGGGTGTATAGGGTGTACTCCTTTTCGTTTACCTTACCAACTCTAGGAAATTTGAGAAGTCTATCCTTATGTTGAATTTTTTGTTCTCCATTTCCTTGAGTTCTTGTATCATGAGATGTGGAAGCACTCTGTTTTTGCTCTTTTTTACCACTAAAGCAATGCCACTCTTGTCAGAACAAATTTGTTGAGCCCCAATGATATTGTCCAAAGTCTTTGATCCTTTGTTCCAAAAACCAATGGTAGCCATAGCACACTTGAGTTCTTCCTCTTTCTTGATCATTAGTTTTTCCAAAGCAACTTAAGACATCTCAAGACTTTCAATCTTTTCTTCATATGTTGTATAGATTTGTTGTAGCTCATTCCTCTCTGTCTCACAAGTCAAGAGTTTTGCACAAAGAGCTTGTGATCATTAGAAATGTTAAGGGCATCATTCCTAGCCTCGGAAATCTCTTTCTTTAATTTGACATTCTCACTTTCACATGATTTGAGTTTCGTAGTGAGTTTGTCATTCGATTTGGATAAGTTAAGAGACTCCTTATATAACTTTTCATAAGCTTGCTCAAGCTCTTCATCATCACTCTCCGAGGATTCATCATCAGTGGCATTCTCAACCGACCTCTTCGGATACTCTGTTCGTCCTTTAGTTTCAAAAACCGCCATGAAAGCAAGGAATTATTTATGTCCCTCTTCACCTTGATCTTCATTGTCACTTTCATCTTCATCAGATTCTGATTCATCATCCCAAGTGATAGCAGGGCTTTCTTCTTCCTCAAACGAGTGGGGCATTCTGAAGCAATCCTTGGCATTCATAGCATTGGACTCTTTCAGAATACCCTTGTATCTTTCCTTTCTCCTTCTTGGCTATAGAATTAATTTTGAGTTTATCTTTGCCTTTAGATTTATGAGTATGAGTAAATTCCAAAAGATTAGGATTTCTTTTCAAAAAAGATTTTTTAAATTGTTTAACAAAAGTAGCCGTAATCTTAGAATCTATCTCACAATCCTCATTAGAATCCTCTCAACTCTATAAGCACTACTAAAAGCAATAGCATCTTTTTGAAATTCCTATGTGTCTTATAAGTTTGGAGATTTCCAACCAAGTGATCCAGCTTGAGTCTGTTAACATCTTGAGTCTCCAATAACTTTGGTTGGAACCGATCGGGCATGTATCTCAAAATTTTTCCCACAACTTTGGATTCTAGTATTTTTTCACCTAAATTGAAGCTGGAATTAACAATGTCACTCAACTTTGCATAAACTCATCAAAGGTCCTCACCATCTTTCATTGAAAGGTTTTCGAAACTAGACGTGAGCCTTTGAAGTTTTGAGTGGTTAACAGAAGAAGTGCCCTTGTGAATAGTTTGTAAGATATCCCAGGCCTCTTTTGCGACTTCACAATTGCAAATACGACTAAACTCTTCAGGTGTGATAGCGTAAAAAAGAGAATTGATAGCTTTACTGTTCCAGCTACTATTTTGGTAATCAATTGTGTCCCACTTATCAATTGGTTTGGGGAAAGTTACTCCATCAACGGTAATCGTTGGTTCAGACCACCCATACATGATAGATTGCCAAAATTTTTCATCAATAGATTTTAAAAACGATTCATCTGAGCTTTCCAAAAA